CCATGGATGTAGAGGCTCTCTACACAAACATCCCACATGCAGATGGAGTACAAGCTGTCAGGAACAGTATTCCTGATGATGCCACAGCACAACTGGTGGCTGAACTCTGTGAATTTATCCTCACACACAACTATTTCAGATTTGGTGACAACATATACCTCCAGACCAGTGGCACTGCTATGGGCACCCGCATGGCCCCACAATACGCCAACATTTTTATGGCTGACCTGGAACAACGCTTCCTCAGCTCTCGTCCACTTACACCCCTTCTCTACCTACGCTACATCGATGACATCTTCATCATCTGGACCCATGGGAAGGAGACTCTGGAAGAATTTCACCATGATTTCAACAGCTTCCACCCCACCATCAACCTCAGCATGGACCAATCTACACGGGAGGTCCATTTCCTGGACACCACGATACAAATAAGTGACGGTCATATCAATACCACCCTATACAGAAAACCTACCGACCGCTATACTTACCTGCATGCCTCCAGTTTCCATCCCGGACACACCACACGATCCATTGTTTACAGCCAAGCACTGAGGTACAACCGCATATGCTCCAACCCCTCAGACAGAGACCTACACCTACAAGACCTTCAACAAGCATTCTGTAAACTGCGATACCCACACGAGGAAGTGAGGAGACAGATTGACAGAGCCAGACGTGTACCCAGAAGCCTCCTGCTACGGGACAAGCCCAAGAAAGAAACCAACAGAACACCACTGGCCATCACCTACAGTCCCCAGCTAAAACCTCTCCAACGCATCATTAGTGATCTTCAGCCCATCCTGGACAATGACCCCTCGCTCTCACAGGCCTTGGGAGGTAGGCCGGTCCTTGCCCACAGACAACCCGCCAACCTGAAGCATATTCTCACCAGCAACTACACACCGCACCATAATAACTCGAACTCAGGAACCAATCCTTGCAACAAACCTCGGTGCCAACTCTGCCCACATATATACACCAGCAACACCATCACAGGACCTAACCAGACCAGCCATACTGTCACTGGTACATTCTCCTGCACATCCACCAACGTAATATATGCCATCATGTGCCAACAATGCCCCACTGCTATATACATCGGCCAAACAGGACAGTCCCTACGTAAAAGAATCAATGGACACAAATCTGATATTAGGAATGGCAACATACAAAAACCTGTAGGGGAACACTTCAATCTTCCTGGACACACAATTGCAGATCTAAAAGTAGCCATCCTGCAGCAAAAAAACTTCAGGACCAGACTTCAAAGAGAAACTGCTGAGCTACAGTTCATCTTTAAGTTTGACACAATCAACTCTGGATTAAACAAAGACTGTGAATGGCTTGCTAACTACAAAAGCAGCTTCTATTCTCTTGGAATTCACACCTCCAGATCAGCTGCTAGAAGTGGGCCTCATCCTCCTTGATTGGATCCACCTGGTCATCTCCAGCCTGATCCTGGCCTGCATATTTATTCCTGCCTCTGGAAATTTCCACTACATGCATCTGACGAAGTGGGTCTTTGCCCACGAAAGCTTATGCTCCTACACTTCAGTTAGTCTATAAGGTGCCACAGGACTCCTCGTCGCTTTTGCAGATTCAGACTAACACGGCTACCCCTCTGATACTCTACCCCCTCAGTTAATCTAAGAACTTACTTTCCCCTCAATGTATTAGAGACTGAACCAATACCTTAATCCAGCTAAATGCCAATATGTTTAATTGAAGCAACAGGGAAGAAATGCTGTCCCTGTCGAAATTTATGGCAGTTTCCCCTCTGATTTTAATACGCTTACGACTTTCTGTAGGTGAGTTCTCTGATCCTGTTGAATGCAATTTGTTGAGAACAGACCACATGTCAAAATGTTCTAACTTGTACCTGGACATAAGTTAGAAAATAGAGCTGCGCTAAAGAGAATACTGATAGGAAGAATGGCTTCCTAAATGCTTAGATTGCTGTATGATCTCTCAAGCTTTGGTATCTGGTAACTTGTTCTAAGACTAACACTGATCTAGAAATAGCAATGAATGCTCTATAACTACGTTAGTATGTACCAAAGTGCTTCTGAACACTCTTCCAAATTCACGCTGGCTGAGCATGAGACTGAAGTGAGTTACATGGAGTGTGTGTATGACCAAATTTCAGACCTTTCCTAGGGGAGCAAACTCTTCCAAAGCTTTACATTTATTCTGCTTTGAAAAGACGGTTAGACTGAGAAACAAGCGTGGTGTGTATCACTAATACAGACATCAGAAGCCTATAACCAGATGTCACACCATTTCTAGTTGGGCAAAGGATCCATCTCGTTGTAACCCTTCTGCCAGGTAGTGCTGGCAGCAGCCACGGCCGGGTTCAATATCTAGGGGTTCCTTTTCATCCATCTCAGACAGAACTGGTTTGAGCCCCCACTCAGTCGCCTGAGAAGCAATGCTACCTATGCGCAAGCACAGAGTCTGAGTGTAGAAAAGAAACTTTTAATGAAAGTGGGAGGTCACATGGCATTAGCTTGGGAAAATACCTAGAACAGAGTTCATAACATCCCATGAGCAACCGTCCCAGTTCAAAGGGATTGAGCAAAGTCCTGTGCCTCTCAGGCTCACTAGTCCAACAATGTAAGGGTTCCATTGACTTACCTACATTTTCTCTGTACCCCAATTCAAATGCCCCACTTACAGCTCTGTCCAGTCAGTAAAGACTCTGACACATCACACTGATGACCCCACTCGTTCAGCCTGAGGCCATGCCACCTTTGTGCTGCTCCTGTAATCCACTTGCTCCACCAGCCACTTCTTCTGCTGGCCGCCCACTGGTTGTTCCCACCAGCCTCCCTGCTGGTCACCGACCAGTCATTCCTGCCTGCCACTGCTTCTACCAGCTGCCAGTTGTTCCTGCCCACTGCTGTTCCTACCAGCCACCCACTGGTCGGAATGGGTCTGGCTCCAGGCTAAACCAGTGACTTCAGCTCTTAGGGTATGTCTACACATCAAAGCTAATTCGAAATCACAGCTGTTATTTCGAATTAACTTTACTAGTGTCTACACAGCCAAACCGCTATTTCGAAATAAATTCAAAATAGTCGAGCACTTATTTCGAATTTGGTAAACCTCATTCTATGAGGAATAATGCCAAATTCGAAATAGCTAATTTGAAATAAGTGCTGTGTAGACACTTATTTTGAAATAGGGGGCCTCCAGCCTTCCCAGAGTGCCTTGGTGGCCACTCCATCCTCAAACAAGAACTTTCCTCTCCCTCCCCTTCCTCTCAGGAGCCCTTAAAGGGGTTGACTCTGGCCACAGTGCCTGTGCCAGCTTCAAGCCTGCCAGCCCAGAGCCAGCAGTCACTGCCCTGACCCAGTGGCCCCAAAACATGAGCCAGCAAGCCACTGGCAGCCAGCCCTCCACCGCTCCCCAGGACCAGGTCCCAGCTCTAAGCCTGGAAGCCCAGAGCCAGCAATCACTGCCCCTGACGCAGTGCCCCCAAAACATGAGACAGCAAACTACTGGCAGCCAGCCCTCTGCTGCTCCCCAGGAGCAGTCTGCCAGCTCCCAGGAGCCTGCCAAGGCCTGGAGAAGGTGGCCACCTTCCTGGTCCAGGGTGGTGATCACGTGAACCTTACTTAGGTTTGGGAGGGATGCTCCCAACTTCCATGATCTTTGCACTAGATGGAGGAACACGGACATCTATGGCAGGGTAACTGCCAGCCCGGCCCCAGGTTTGCATGAAAATAAAGTTGGTCCGGCAAGACCCCCAACCCTGAGCTTCCCCTCCCCCTTCTTCCCCTTGCTTCCCCCTTCCATCTCCCTCTTCCCAGGTTTCCCCCTTCCCTCTCCCTCTCCCTCTTTCCTCCCCTCTCCCACCTCCTTTCTCCAGTCTCACCAGTTTCATCTCCCTCCCCCCCAGTTTTGTTAAATAAAGGGAGTTTGTATTCATGAAAATACGTGTATTTTATTTGACATCAGGAAGGGGGGCTGGGAGGGTAAGTGGAACGATGTGGGGGAGGAATGAAGTACAAGCCCGCACCAGGGAGGCTCTTAGTTCTCCTCAGGGTGGAAGCTCTCCCGCAGGGCCTCCTAGATACTGACAGCCCCTAGATGGACCTCCTGGATGGCAGCCTGCAGAAAGTGCAGCCAGGCTAATATCAACGCGTTCACAAGAAGCGACATGGAGCCGGAGCTGCCCCTGGAGCGCTGCGCTGTGGTGAGGGCAACCAGAGCACCCAGAGACACAAATGCTTTGCTGTCACTCATCAAGTTAGGCAAGCTAAGAACCAGCTGCCCGGGATGGGGGTCCCTTTAAGCACAAGCCTCAGGCAGCAGCCACACAAATAAACTCCTGACCTGATGCCCTGCTGGACCTGGTTCCGGCCGGCCTTCAATGCAATTCAGTATCCACTCAGTGTGGACGTGCTATTTCGAAATAGCAAAACGCTATTTCAAAATGCATTTTGTATGTAGATGTGTTATTTCAAAATAAGATGTCTCTCCTGCAAGCACTGGTGTCCTATTTTACAGTTCCAACATTTGGGGGTAGCATGGTTTGTGACCTCAAAATACCCCAAATTAGTTACAATACATCACATTCCATTCTAACAACCGATCCTCCATCAGCCCTGGCTGAATTGGATTTACATAACCACACCCCGGATTCCTTTCCCATCCCAGCATGAGCTGTATTTACATATCAACAGTTAATTATCTTGCAGGGCTAAACAACTTCAGCTGGCTCCATTGCAAGCAGTCCTTCAGACCCCTGGCTTACATCCTCATTATCAAGTAGTCCCATGTTAATATCTCTTCTTAATTCATGAATACAATGTGACCTGTAAAACTGACTGAAAATGTTTTGGAAACACAAAATTCACTGCAATAGTTGTGACTGCATCAAGAAGTGGTTTCTTGGAATCTTGAATCATAACTTTAATCAAATGAGGAAACACCTCAACAAATGACACAAACCAAAGTATTGTGTTAAAAAATTTCACTTCATCTTTTTTTGATGCTGACTGAGTAGATTTATTTTATTTGACCAGTTGTGATCTTGACTGAAATCTCTTTAAAACATTTCAGACTGCAGATATGAATCTCTTCAAAAAGATCCTGCCTGGAGTCAGGGAAATTCTCTCCAGTGGCACAACTTCTGATGTCCATGCATTGCTCAGTTGCATGTTGGAGGGTGATGTTATATCCAAGGAATATCATCAGAACTTACTCCAGGAAAAAGACAGAGAAGACCTAGCAAGGAAGATCTCTCTAACACTTGTGGAAAAATGGGATTTGTGTTTGAACACCTTAGTTCCTCTCCATTGTTTAAAACTATACAGTAATATGCCACAAGACATCACAGATCATGAGCCATCTCTGAACAGGGGTATAGCTGGTAAGTTTGCTTTTCATTTTACATTTATTCACCAATGCTTTTCAAATCTTCTCCCCTTTGTGGTATGGCTTTTTGATTTGGTACAGTGATGTTGATGTGCATAGTAACATAATGGATGTAGTAGAGAGACAGAACCACCATGTGACAATATCTTGAGTTTTTAAAAATAAACCGTCCTGAGAGCAGCTAAGCAGATGACAATTTAAGATCTATTGAAAACATTTCATTTGTGCTGCCTTTGCAGGATAAGAGTCTGTGCAGTGGGAATAGAAAGGAGATACTGGAGACTATGATTGGGAATATGAGTCTGAAACAGACTGTCACTAGTCTCAGGAGCATTTGCAGTGATGATGACTTGGTCACATGGTGCAAGCTCCATCTCCTGAAGTGTCTAGACTAGAGATGTTAGAAATCGGTTATTTTAGTAATCATGTAACAGCAACAATTCTTAGTGGTTACATAGTTATTAAAATGCTTCCCTCCTCCCCCAACATTGGGCTGACAGCCAGCGTGCTCTTGGGTTCCAGAACCACCCCCAGAGAGCCCCCTGCTGCCCTGCACTGCTGCCTGTGTTTAAAAATCGGCTCCCCACGCAGATCAGCTCTCACTTGCCACCCGTGCTGCTGCCTCTGATACAGGCTGTTTCCCATTCTGACACTTGGGGTGTGTCTAAACTACATGGCTCCATCGATGGAGCCATGTAGATTAGGCAGGACGGCAAAGGGAAATGAGGCGGCAATTTAAATAATCACTGCTTCATTTAAATCAAAATGACCGCCGCGCTGTACCAATCAGCTGATTGTCAGCTCAGCGCAGCAGTCTAGATGGGATCTGCTGACCCCAGAACCCTTCGTTGGCAGATCTTTTATGCCTCGTAAAACGAGGCTTACAGAATCTGCCGATGAACGGTCCTGGGGTCAGTAGACCCCCGTCTAGACTGCCGCACTGTGCCAACAATCAGCTAATCAGCTTTCCCATTTCCCTTTTTTGAGTAAACTAATCTACATGGCTCCATCAATGGAGCCATGTAGTTTAGAAGTACCCTTGGTGTGCAGAAGGTGGGGGCTCACAAGAGACCTTAAAAATATCTTGCCTCTATAGGCTTCTGCTTAAAAGTTCCCCACGGTCACAGATTCCCTGGCCTTGGGAGATAGGCTTCCAGTGTTCCGTTTAAGATTCTCTATCCATGAGTGGAATGAGTTTTGTCTTGTGCACCAATATTGAGGTCTTGTGTGCTTGTTCAGATGTGTGCCACCATGTCACTCAAGTTAGTAACACATATCTGTTATTTATTTTTTTTAAATGCTAAGGAAGAAAGAATACCAAAACAAGGGATAATTAACAAGGTTTACAACTTTAAATGTTTGTATAATATGAAGTCAAATAAAAAAAATAATATTGCAAGTCCAGAGTGCACATGCAAATATTTCAGTAGCCAACTTCCTCTTATAGTCCTCTACTAGACTCTTCCGTGGCTGGGCTTCCTCCTCAATTAAATCTGTCTCTTCTTTCGGAGAACCATGTTAATTGGCCTTTCATTAGAGTAATATTTCTGAGCTTGTGTAGGATAAACTCTCTATTGCACACCTAGACAACAACTTATTGAATATTTCTCCCCATTCACATTGTGTCTGAGGGCCATATTTTATTTTGGATCAGAGGTGAAGTCAACCCAGTGTCTCCCCACCACTGCCCTCAGTTCTTTTTATTTGGACAATTCTTTCTATATATTACAGATAAATAGCCAACTCAGAAAATGTAGCTACCTGGAATGTTTGTTCTGCACACAAGATATAAATCAGAGCTAATACTCTTTGATGAATCAAGTGCAGATTTCCCTTGTCTGGTCTGATCAACTCATAAGCATTCTTCAAAGCTTGAATGTCTATTCAACATTATTTTTATTAAGAAAGGTGACAAATAATATTATTTACTTTATGCCGGAGTGCACATGCAGTCCAGCAGGAACTTGGACAGTTCTGTGACAGGATGGTTTATGAATTCAGGACTCATGAGTGGCTGGGCCAGGCAACTAAATCCTGTGCAGTCTTCCTTCTTCAAACTCTCTCAGATGGAGATCTTTCCTTCCCCCCCCCCCCCCCCCCCACCTCTTTAGGCTGTTAAGTGTATGTGTGTAATGTGTAAAGAAGGAAAAACAGAAGGTCGAGTCATTGTGGTGTAGCAATAGAGGGTTTATATTGTGTATCAACTATTTCATGCTCTTTTTTGGGGGGGTCTGGCTTTGCAATGCTGAATGCTGTGTATGTTACACTGTTTTAAGACATGTTTATAAATAAAGGATGTAATATTTTCAAGAAAGTGTATTGCTCATCACACTATACCATTAAGCACTAATAAGAAAACAGTATTCCTCTATTTAGCTAGAGCTACATTTCAGTACATTCCATCTGTGTACATCCATTTTACCTCACCCCCACACAACCAAATTCCTTTTTCATCATGTCATTCTGTCTTGTATTACATGACAGTCAAGCCCATACCTCACACAAGCACTGCCCTCACCAAGAAAGTAATAAGCCACTTTTTCCCCACAAGTATATTCCCATGGGCACTAGTCCCACTCTTACATTGAGCTATGCAAGTCCATGTGGGCCCCCAGCTCTGGCTGCTGGCACACGATTCCTAGCTCCAAGCCCAGCTCTGCCTGCTGTCATGTGGCCCCTGGCTCTGGCCACTGCCATGTGGCCCCAGCTCTGGCTGCCACCACTAGGCTCCAGCCCCAGCTCTGGGCTCAGCTCTGCCTGTCACCCCGTGACCCCCAGCTCTGGCTGCCACCATGGGGCCCTGCCTTGGCTCCAGCCACCACTCCAGCAGCTGCCACATGACCCTGGTCCCCCACTTTCCTGTCCACCACCACCAGCTTCCCTTCCACATCGTGGAAGCTGAGAGCTGCTGCACAGCTTTACTGATGAGGTAGGTGGGAGTAAAATTCTTTGTGCCACCACCCAACTGAGAAAAAAACCCTTTCTTCTTGAACCCAGGAAGAAGCATTTGGGAACTTCCAACTTCTAACAGAAGAAAGCTTGGGACAAACAAACTGTAATCTCTGATAGCTGACCTCTCAGTCTTAGGCATACATATTCAGACCTCCTGTTACCGTCCAGGACACAAGAATCAAATCATAGCCTTAAAAAAGGTGATTTTATTACAAAAAAAAAGATATACAGGCAGTCCCCGGGTTACATACAAGATAGGGACTGTAGGTTTGTTCTTAAGTTGAATCTGTATGTAAGTCGGAACTGGCGTCCAGATTCAGCCGCTGCTGAAACTGATCAGTTTCAA